GAAGTTTGAGCTCAAAGTTGAGCTACAGCAAGTGCAGCTTTCCAAGTGTACTTAGTAGTTTTCTTGGACACCTCCCGTCTAAGTCTTTATCTAGCTATTCGCGGTCGTGGGCGAGGAATAGAATGATCGAGCGATCCAAAAGCGATGTTGGCCGTCAGTGCGTCGGTATCATAAAGATCACTGGTCCAGTGCGGGAAGGCCGATTACTCCCACGGATACAACAGTTTGATAGCCTCTTTGTCCAGCCTAGAAATCCCCCACTCCCCACTCGGACGTGGCAGCGGAAGGAGCGACTTCTGACCATTCTTTCCACCGGTGAGTCGAACCAAAGGGTAATTATCGGGGTTGTTCTGATCCTGATTAACAAGAGCAGGGTTGTGGCTCTGCCATGAGCTGTAGTGCATGATTGAATCGTAATCATACTCCGCGCTGTATGCCAAGCCGTCGTTCGTCCACTTGTAGTACTCTGAAGCGTCGAATTGGTAGTGCTTCGCAACATTGAAGATGTTACAGAGTTCGTTTATGGTAAAGCCGTCGGCGGTGGCCTTTTGGAGAGCTTCGTGGTAGCCTGTGAGACTGGCGCAGTTGAACTGGACGTGGTCGTCGCGGTCTCCGCGTGAGTGCTCGTGCATCAAGCCGAAGATGTGACCTGGACGGATACGATTAGTTACCGCTTGTATACTGATGAAGGAGACACAGTCATACCTAGCTCATGGGCTACAACTGTCTACTTGTCAGCGAGTCTGGACAATCGAGAATTGCTTCTCAACTTACCCCAGGCCAGGTCTCTGTTCGGCGCTTGTTCCGCGTTGCCGATACTCAATTGATGACGACCAGGTGAACCTTCAGCCCTATATCCCAAAGAAGACGCTGCTGCCCAACCCCCTGGAGCACCACGCTTGATAACGACGGTGTCTGCCGGAAACAACTGGTTCCAATCGCCATTCGCCAGGTAGCAGTAGATGTCCTGGCCAGGAACAAGGCGCCGTGTAAAGAGCAGTGAATGGCCGCTCTCCTTGCCCCAGCGACCAAGAGAACGCTGCCACGCTCCCCAGCCCTCCGCTATAACTCCTTCCAGCTCATCTTTGGCAGCCTTGTTTTCGTAGCAGTAGGCGATTTCGGTCTTGCCGCTGTTATCGGGGTGCTTCGGCCAGCGACCGCTCTTGTCGGCGCCAAACCTAGGGATGTTAGTATCGTGGCGTTTAAGAGTTTATAGGACTACCAACGAATCGCCGAACCAGCCCATACCTCCGTTGGGAGCGCTAGCTTCGATGTTAGAAAAGGTAAAGAGGCAGGAAGTACCGCGACGGCGCACCAGGCAAAGAGTATCAGGAGTATTATTAGCAACATCGTGGCTCTAGTGTATTGTCTTCCTGCGAGTGCACTTTGTTCCAACAAGGGGAATTTATTTAGTGTAGTAATATGGAATGCATCGAGGAAATCGAGGGAAGACAGAACCAAAGGCGGTAATGAACCCGGAATCTACGCTTCCGCCCAAGTTGAGTGTAGCGGTGGGAATTCGGTCCAAATTTTGGCAGCTGTAGTAGGTACAGAGTGAAAGGGTCTCGTGTGTATTACACTTCCCATTTTTGCTTTCTCTTGTCCCAGTGTTATCACTTTGATCTTCCAGAACGGTATGATAAGCTCGGTATTTGCAAATCCGCCGACACTGTGCCAGAAGCGCACGAAGATATCCAGTAAGATATATACAATCATTCTTGAAGACGAGAACCGATGAGGTCGATGTGACGCCAAGATGCCTGATAAATAAGAGGGCGCGCTTTTGACTCGAAGGTGGTCTGCTGTTGCTTCCTGGTGGTCGCTGGAGGTGTATGTTAGGGTGAGAATACATCAGAACGACTTTCAGATGTCTCCTGAAGAGTTGACGCCGCCAGGGCAGGATACACCTTCATCCGCACTGGTTATAAAGAACACCCAGGCATGCTGTAGCTGTCCACAGGTCATCATTATGCCAGGAAGTTCGCGGTTCGTGTGAGAGATGTCGTGCAGAAACGGGAGTGCTGTGCCTGGGTGTCGACCGCCCAAGAACGCGTGTCTGGTACGTGTCGCGCTATGCACACGAAAGGAGACTAGCGTTGCGCGTCGCGTGCCCAGGTGCGGACGGCAGCGGCAACTCACCAGCACCGGAGCTTCTAAACCTCCACGGTGCTCTCTTCTTTCTACGTATCTGATTGCTTCTCGCCTGTCACGAATCTTGCGCTACTGTTGTCGCATCTTTTAAGGGGCTGCGCTGCACCGGCTTTCTCCGCGCACGCGATCTCGCCTTCCATACATGGATTCTATACGACGTCCGTTGACGGAGGTCTGCTCTCACCCGCACTTCAACGAAGAAGGCTGAGTACTTGGTTGATGATGCCAGACATTCAGATCGCCAAGTGTGCATGGCGCTAACCTCGTAGGTCATCTGCATGCGATCGTTTCGGGATGTGTGTGAGGGGCGCAGCTGAAGCGGACTTGTCTTCACGCCACTTCATGCATCTGGTTCGATGTTCAGGACTCGCGCTGAGATGGTGCATCCAGAGGAAACCTACAGTATCATCTCTAAGCTCTTTAAACATCCACACGTTACCACTTGCTTCTGCAGGGTCGCTTTGCGAAAGCATTCTATCAAGCTGAAGCCCCACTTTCTTCGCCCCCACGGTAGCGCAAGCGCGGCGCAATCGGATCACGACCTCCATGAGACTTCTGAATGCCAGGACATATGAGTTCCACGACGTGTTGGGTGCGGTCAAGCCTAATTACGCGATTTTATCGCATACATGGGAAGATGGGGAAGTGGTCTTCGAAGACATTCGTGACACGTCCAGGGCCAAATGGAGTGCTAAGAAAGGCTACTTCAAGATCAAGAAAACATGTGAACAAGCCTTGCAAGATGGATGCGACTTCGTTTGGATAGACACATGCAACATCAACAAGGACAGCAGCACAGAGCTTTCGGAAGCGATCAACTCTATGTTTCGGTGGTACCGCGATGCCGTTATCTGCTACGCATATATCTCCGATGTCAAAGCTGGAGATCCCCACTCGCTGTCCGAATGTCGCTGGCTCACTCGAGGGTGGACACTACAGGAGATGATTGCCCCAGATCGCGTGCACTTCTATGATATGAACTGGGATTTCCTTGGGAGTCGTATATCTCTTGCGGCACAGTTGTCGGAAAGTAGTGGCATCCACGCATCGGTATTGTTGCGAAGACATCGTGGACAGATGGGCTTCCAAATACCGACGGAGAAGGGTCATTTGGTCGCGGAGTTCACAGGTGAACTTGACGACACCTCATATTCCCGGAAGACGGTCACAGAGAGGGAATGTCAATGTTGCACAAGTACCGAGGAAGACGACGTGCAATCAATGCTGGACGGGTTCAGCGTGGCGCAAAAGATGAAGTGGGCTTCCAAACGTACGACATCGCGAGAGGAAGACATTGCCTATTGTCTGATGGGGCTATTTGAAGTAAACATGCCCCTGTTGTACGGTGAAGGGAAGAAAGCTTTCTATCGCCTGCAAAAAGCCATCCTTGGGATATCATCAGACCATTCCATTCTGGCTTTCCGATCTGATTTGTCAGAGAATCTTTTGGCAGGAGAGTCTCCGTTGCTAGCACCACATCCTGCTTTCTTCCGCGACGAAATACAAAACATGCACATGCCAGCTCGTGGCACGCACACTAGTCTTTCGGGTACCACACTCTCTGTTGAAATGCTCTTATGTCCGCTGGAAAGGAATGGAAAGTTTCGGGACGAGTACCTTGGCATTTTGGACTGCTCAATAGACGGAGACCCCTATATGAGACCGGCTATCCTGTTGTCGACCGTGCATAAAGGGAAGTTAATCTTCCGAAGGTGCTCCGGTGAGGTCAGTCTTTTCCGATTGGGGTCCAAACATCCTACGGAGGCTGCTCTAATAGTTGATCATCAGCTGAAACCCGAAGAATGTACGTTCACTAGGAAGCAACGGGCTTGAAAGAAAGTAGCTAATCATTGCAGTAATGTGGTTACCGCAGAGACTACCATACGATCCGAGCGAAATAAAACGAGCTCGAATCACGCTCGTTGGCGAGAAGACCAGTAACCGAAGCCAGCGACACGCGAACGCACCCATACTCGTTAAGACATCTCGCCTATTGCACGACCTGGGTTACTCAACCAAGGCGTCGCCATCTCTAGATGCGGGGCACCTGCCGAACACTACATACGGCAGTATAGAGTTTTCCGGGACACTAGCTGGAAGGTTTTGCGTTGATTGGAGCCAATCGTCTGCAGGACAGCTATGTTGCAGCATCTCAACCAACCTACGGCCAGAAGACCAAGGCGTGATACAAACACAGACAGTTCCCAAAGTCAGCCTAGTGTTCGAGTCTAGAGATGCTTGTGCGACCAAGCCACTTGAAAGCCTTTGCGAGTCAGAAAGCGTCTCCCTTCGTGGTGCTGTCTTCGCTCAGCTCAAGGTATGGATTTCGATCTCCAGAGAGACTTTTATCGGAAGAAGTCGCTTCGTCTTGAAAGTTCACGCATGGCTAGTCGAGGGGAATGGGACACAAATCAGGAAGCCGGAGACTCGTCAGAGGCGAATGCAGAACTCGTTGCAGGACCAAAATCCATCACCCATAGGCTTGGATGACAAGCTACAACGATTACCGTACCGCCAACAAGATCAAACCCCATCTGCGAAAGAGGAACAATTAGGGACCAAGATGAAGGCGTCGAATGAACAGGATCGACACCTCTGAAACGACCACTGAGCGCGGTCTTTGGACTGACACATAGCTACACAGTAGAACCACGCTCATCGTACAACGAAGTTCTTTTCATAATCTGCTCATACGATATGTAATATTACGTACCACATCATACACAAACGCGTATCGCGACTCAACAAGAAGTCGCATCTTCGAAGAACTCTGCTGCCCAGCGGAACATGAACGTCAAGGCTCCATCTGAACATACAAGTCGTCATCAGCCCGCCCAATCGCGATATTCTCATGCCCCAGCCTCCTCCTTCACCCCAACCTCTTCCTTCATCTCGATCTCCTCCTTCACATCCTCAACCTCCCTAACCTCCACAACCCCCTTAAGCACCTTCTCCCAAACCCTCCTCGCAACCCTAAAACTCCTACACCACTCCTCCCAATCTCCTACTACATCCCGCTCCAACCACTCCCCTCCCCTCGCAGCCACATGTTCTATGTATTCAACAGTCAACTCTTCTTCTTCGTCTCCATCTCCAGCATTTCCCTCCCCTCCCTCCTCAACCTTCACATCCCCACCTCCCACCCCGTCGCCCTTCTTGCCATGACTCTTCTTCTCATCAGCCCGTGCTTTCATATCAGGATCAATAGGCGTCCACTCCAACAATCTCGCCTCCACCAAATCAGATATACCGCACGGCGTAAACAGAATCTGCACAACATCTTCCGGGTTAAGTTGTTTAGTGGCTGGGTCTGCCTCGGGTGCGAGGGCGTAGTACCCGAGCGCGTGGCGCCCGTCTTCGTACAGGTTCGGTAGGAAGAGGATTGTCATCGCCGTATCTGCTTCTTTCTTCTCGTGGGGGGTGTCTTCTGTGAAAGCGGGTTGTCCGTGTTTACCCTTCTTCCGGGGCTGATCTGAAGATTCGAATGGTGCGGACGGCGCGGACGGTGTAGAGGGGGTGGAGGGATCGGACGACAGAGATGAGAGGGCTGGTATACCAGGAAGCCTCGAATTCGCCAATAAATTGGGTAAATGCGTGATCGCCGAGTCGAAATTTATAAACGGCAAGTTCCTCTCTGCGACACGCAGGATAGCGAGGAAGACAGCGGGGTTGGTGGTTGTAGCGCGGTAGATATATTCTACGTAGTTAGGGCGGTTGCAGCGCGGTTTGGGCAGCTTGGTGTAGTCGATGATTGTGTCGCTGACTTCGGGCACGTAGGTACGTTCGTCGCGCTTGGACTTGGGGTTGTTGGCTTTGGCGCTGGTGTTCTCATCATCCTTCTCATCCCCGTCGTCTTCATCCTCGCCGCCATCTTCATCGATCAGTGGTGAAGACCCAAGCGGCGTAACCGCATCTTTCGGAATAGTCATCTTCATATCCTCCGCATAGTCCGTCGTGATATGGTTATACGTCTTCTTCAGCGTGAGTTTATGCCGGTAGTCCACTAGACCACGCCTGTAGCCGGGAGCGGTGTCGAGTTCAGTGGTGTTGACGATGATGTCGTCTTGGTGCGAGTCGAAGGGGTATCGCTTTTCTTTCTTCGGCTTTGCGGGCTGCTTGGTAGATGGGGCCGCGGGTGGTTTGGGGGCGGAGATCTTGGGGACGGTGCGTTTGGGGGGTGCACGGTGGGGAGGTTGTGTCATTGTTGCGGGTGGGTTGGCGGGCGGTGGGCGGTGGGCGGTGTTGTGTCTACGGAGACGAGGGTGTTCGCGGCGGAGGTTATTGGGAAAGGCGCGAGCTTTAGGAACCAGTTTGAGGAAATCATCGGTCACTTCGAAGTCGAATTATATGTCCGTGCAGAGATTGCGCTTGTTATGACTACTTCACTACATTCTCGCAAGCCAAGGCGACTATACAACTACTGTTTCCACACAAGCGCTAATCAGACTCCTCGTCCGAGTCTACTCCAAGTACAAGCGATATCTTGTCGTCGTCACTGTCCTCGTCGTCGAGGTCTCCTTCCCCTGGCTCGGGAAGTTCAGGGACAACCGAGGCGGTGCTGGTAGCGGCGAAATCTGACGTAGCGGCTACCTCCGTAGTGGGAGTAGATTTGCTGAAAGATACAGACGCTGTTGGCGCAGGGGGTATTGGGTGTGTTGTGCGCTGCTCGTCTTCGCCAGTCTTTGCTCGCTTGGAAGGCGAGAGAGGACCATCTTCGCCTATCGGTCGCTTGGTTTCGCTGAATGCGGTAGGTTCGGAGATGGTAGGGCGTTGCGCAAGCGTACCCTTGCGGACTGATCGTGGAGTTGAGAGGTCAGGTTTGCTGGGTGTTGGCGCGTCTTCCATAGCAAAGTCCTTCGCTGCCGTATCCGATTGCCCAGCGGTTTCCAGCAGATTGTCCAACTCTTGTCCAGCGAAGTGGTCATCCACCTGCTCCAGAGCTTGCTGTTCTTCTTCTTCAACTTTTTCATCCTCAACCTCCATCTCTTCGTCTTCATCGTTGCCATCATTCAACTCCAAATCCTTGCCACCCACGCGAATGACTGGCATCCTTGGTCTGAGCATACCCTCTACATCCATCTCGGCGGAAAATGATCGGGCCATGAGTGGTAGTATGCTCGCTGCGGGCTTTCCAAACTTCTTGCTTGGTGGTGGGTTCAACACACTAGCTACCATGGCTTCCTTGTGCTGTGTGAGAATAGCGGTACGGTCCAGACGAGCGCGCATTGAGTCAGATAGGTATTGAGCCGGGATGCTTGAGAGTAGAACCGGAAGCAGATCGTGTGCGGCTTGTTGGAGTCCAGGGAATCCAGCGTTGGGGCCGCCGGCGTTCTTCGCAGCGCCAAGGAAGCTATCGGCGTTAGCCGTGGTCTGGGGCTGACTGCTGCCATTGGCTTTGGCCTGGCCGGGAGTCTGTTGGTTTGTAGGCGCCGCGGTCTCGGGTGGTAGTAGATCGTCGCAGCAAGCGCGAATGAGAGGTACGAGGGAATCGATGGTAGTCTTATGGAGAGCGACTCCAGATCTCCTCAACAAAGCAGCAATCGCCGTGTAGCATGCTGTTCTAATCTGAGCTGTCTCTTTTTCCGCACTAAATACCCACACAAGCTGGTCAATGATGGCAGGGTCCAGTGCCAATGTGCTGCTCTGGGATCTGTGTGCTAGAGCAAGAAGCACTTCAATCGCGGCGATATGTACGTCTGGCAACAATAACCAAAGGCTTTCACGCTCGTCCTTGCTGACTTGGGCGTTTAGACGCACGGTGTTCTGGAAGTTCTTGCTGGCCGACACGGGAATGGTAAGGGAAAGCATTCTCGAGAGTAGGTCAACAATCATGCCAACATTGAGATACACAGTGTTGGCCGTGGGGCTTTCGATGTACTCCTTGATCACGTAGAGAAGGCCTGTCAAGCGTTCGCCACCAGCGAAAATTCCCGACCAGGCAGATAGATCTGAGCCCGGCTCCAGGTCTTGAACTTCGTCATCCAGTGTGTGGCCGTTCGAAAGAGGTGCTTCACGTGCCGTAGATTGCCAGTCTTCAATTACGGCACGGAACACACGATCTGTTGTCTGATGGGTGACGTTCGTGATGTTCTTGACAGCCTTTGTCCACTCTTCGCTCGAAGCTCCTTTTGGTGCACAGCAAGGTAATTGGACGTAGAGTTGGCGCGCCGCAGCTGCGATATCCGAGCAAGCTCCATAGTTGGTTCCAGTTCGCTGCTCTTGGCTGAGTCTATCAGATGGCGTGGGTGCGATGAGACGTCCGAGAAGCGGGTAAAGTTGCTTTAGATAAGACCGGAAGATGGTAGGGTGTCGGGGCAGCAGCTCGTTGAAGCTCTCTAGGATAATCTGTAACAGACTGGCGGGGGTAGCTTTGACATTCGCTATCTGCAGACAGACTTGGACGAAAGGCGATAGCGACGGAGTAGTGATTTCGCGGATCAACGTCGGGTACTCTCTGGTCAGAAGGAAGATGCGCGTCAAGGTAATAATGCAGAGCTTCTTTGACGACGGCGAATCCGGCTTGTTCAAGAATCCTAGAAGACCACGCACCCATGGCAAACTCTTCTGCAGAGTCTCCCAACCCCCAACTTCAATCGTGGCTTTGATCAAGACTATGGCACACCATCTTCCTTGGGGAGTCCGGTCTTGAAGCAGAGTGGTGAGTAGAGTCCGGTACTTGTGTATAGCAACGGATGCTTCCGAGGACGTCGCTTTGGTACCTGAGGCCTGGGCCGAAGAGAGGAGCGCCCTGCAATTGGCCAATGACGCAGCTATGGCAGGCACGTGTTGGGGGAGCTGGGATGTCGGCGTGGACGAGATGCGGAAACTGAGCGCTCGCAGCGTCGCCAGTTCGGAAGCAATGGGCGCCATGGTGATGGCGATTCCCCTGGTTATTGTATTGATTTGATCAGCCCGTCTCTGATCAGCGGAATGGCTGTTGTCGATGGCTGGTAGAAAAAAGTTCAAGGCCCGGAGTTAGCGTCGGACCGCATGCGCTAGAGCTGCAGGGATGTGCGGGCCAACTGGAAGAGTGGGACTTGTGCAGTCGGTCAGTGACATGTGTACAGCCATGGCCGGCGTCGTCGCATTCAGTATTGCTCGTCGAACATGATTCTACAGACATCGCGACCCTGTCCAGAGCCAAAGGCATATTCTTAGCACCATGGTGGTATGTCGAGGTTGCTGTCCTCCCTCTCCCCTGGCGCCGACGCAACGTCATCTTCAACAACGGTAGCTTACAGGACGTACAGACCCCCCCTGAGAGCGAAAAGGCCAAGCGCTACATACAGCAGCTGGACGAGGCTCGATGCGCCGGACGATGGGCCGACGTGCCTGAGCTGTGTCGCAAGGTCGAGAAGCATGCGCCGCACCGACGATGTCAGCAAACCTCTCTGTTTGGTCTTTCTGAGGGCTAACGGCGACCCAAGGCCTCACCCTCACAGCGCGCTCCGACGCCCAGATAGCCGCACACAGCACCAAGAGGCCCTCGACCGCCTCCTCTGCCGCCTCCACCACCGGGCTGTCACAGATCATACCCTCGCTGCTCGCAACAATCGAAGAAGATGGGACGCAGGGTCAAGACGCCTTCCAGGCCAACGTCTGCCTCGGCTGGGCCCACTACGTGCTGGATGAGCCGGGACTGGCAGTTGCGCGGCTTCCACAGGACTTTGGGGCAGTCGCGACCCAGCTGTCGGGCGAAGCAGGCACGTTGAGCGGCTGGTCTCGGGTGTGTCTGGTCAAGGGCACATATCTCAAGGGTACAGCTATACTGTGTGACCTCATTCTGGCCCGGGAACTGACGTGATTTAGGCTCCGCGCTCGAGAAGACAGGTGCGATTGGTGAGGCAGCCACGATCTACTCGTCAATAATACCCTGGCTGTCCACGACCACCACCCCGAACACCGAATCGGCCCAGTTCAAAATGTGGGGAGAACAGTCTCTCGTTCGCCTCTGTCAGCTGTCCGACCAGTCCACGGGCCTCAGCGAGCGAATCAACGCGTCCGAGGCTCTGCGCACCTACCGCTACTGGGCAAAGTTTTGGGATGCAACTTCCAAGAACGCCGCATCAGACGTAGGCAACTCAGCACGGTATCGAAGATTGGCATGGAAGGCCTACTACGACTCACTGTCAACGATCCTCCGCTGTAACCTCGCATACGAACCCGATTCCACACCCATCATACAAGAGAAGCCGACGCCTACCGCACAGTCAGACGCACGATTACGGCAGCGGGCGGAGCTGAAACGCGTCGAGGCTGTCTACGAGAACCTGTTGATACGAGAGACTCACTTTCCCAAAGCCAGTGAGACCAATCATGAAGTCGAAACGTGGGTGGATTCCGTCATGGACAACTGGCGCCTCCTCTGCGGTCCCACCTGGAGCGACGATGATCTAGGCGAAGGAGGGAAAGAGGGTGTCGCGCGAGGCGTGCTTGATGTAAGTTACTCATCTACCCCGAGAAGATCCAATGACTAATATCATCCAGATCCTCTATCGAGCAGCCACCAAGACGTACCACTCGACCCAGATCCTGCGCAACCTCTTCGTTGTCCACGCATCTCTCGCCGAGCCTGAGTTGGCATACAAAGCCTACGATTCCTATGTCGAGATCATCACGCGGAACAAGGATCGATCGGAAAAGTCAGGCGAACTCGAGGCTGGCATTGACGACGACAGCACGGTGTTGAGGACTTCCGCCGAGGCCATCAGGATGCTCTGTAGATGGGGATCTAGGCATGACGCCGAAAAGGCTCTCGAGATTGCTCACAGTATCGAGCACTGGTTGGAGCAGGCAGATCACCTTCGCTCAACGTCTGATACCCGCTCAATTGCTTCGAGCACATCTTTCGTCGAACCCACGGCCCTAGCTGCCGCCTATTGCGCCATTGGCATCAGTCAAGCACACTGGGCACGGCTCACTTACGAGGTTGAGGCACGGGCCACGATACAGGCCAAAGCTGTGCAGTACCTCAGGAAGTCGCTTTCACCTAATCTCGGCGATGAACATAATGTGGAAGCTCTGTACGCCCTCGCTTTGGTTCTCGCAGAAACAAGAGACATCCCCGGTGCCATCAAAATTGCCAAGCGTGCACTTTCTCCAGCAACAAAGGGCACGACGGTCAGTGTAGACGGAGTTCTATCGGATGGCATCACCACTGAATATGGACGCGAACGCAAGTTGATACCCGTGTGGCATCTTCTCGCCCTGCTTTTGACGTCAAGGTCTGAGTTTACCGCTGCTGAGAAGGCATGCGAGGCGGCTTTCGAACAATTCGGCGATCCTGCTGTCCTGTTCGGCCGTGACTCAGGCGCATTCCGAAGCGAACACCTTCAAGAGGCTGCTGGTCAAGAGCCTCTTGAATCTGGCATTGTCGATCGCATGGAACGTTTCGAAAAGAGCAACATACTGCAGATCAAAATGACGCAGCTGTGTCTTCTCGAGATCACCGATGGTGCCACCGCTGCGGTTGACGGATGTGACGAGCTCCTTGCACTGTACGGTCGACTGTTCGGCGATCCGGCAGCTGACAAAGTCAAGACTCCACCCGAACCTGCGTCGCTGGCGCCTCCAAAGACCGCCTCGGGCACACGAGGTAGTATCTTCCGCGGACGAGGGTCGGTCAGAACGACTCAGCAAGAAACTGTTGATCGAAGTAAATCTGTGGTCAGCTCCAAGACAGCCACCACACAACCGGAAGTGCCTCCTGCGATTCAAGTCACCGATGACAACGGCGCAGCTCCTACTAACGGTCATCACCGTCACCATCTGTTCCACCACCACCACAAGCAGGATGATGGCCAGGCCGGCAAAGACACCGTTCCAGAGGTACCGCCGCTCCCAGAACACGTCCCAAACAGCACTCGTGCACGCAGTAACACTGCAAACTCAAAATCGCCTCGACGCATTTCCAATCCCAGCTCTCCAGGAAAGTCAATAGAAAAGGGTGACACACCACTTCCACCCGTCGCCCATAACCTAGATCACTCTTCTCCGCCTTTGGGTCACGAAGAACAACCACCCAGACAGGATACTCGCTTGCCTTCGCGCCTGCCACATGCTGACTACATACCTGCGGATCCTCACTTCTCCAAAATCCAAGAACGTCGTCAAAAGGTCTCGTTGCTGGTTAGCATATGGATCTTCATCTCTGGATTATATGCAAGAGCGCACATGTTCCAGGACGCTAGGGAAGCTGTTGCTGAGGCCTTGAAGCTAGTGGAGACATTTGAAGCAGAGGTGTCATTGGAACACTCAACAGCAAAGGCGCTTGCGGACAAGGGGTGGGGTGGAGGTAAGAGTGTTGAAGAGCTGTGGGCGGATGTATTCGCTGCTGTAAGTCTCTTGTTCTCTTCCGAATTATTTCTACTGACATGTTTCATAGCGTGCAGAACAGCTTGTAGCCCAGTCGATGAAGCATGAAGCTCGCGCAGACTTTGAGCGCGCTCTACAACATTTCCCAGACCACCCCGAGGCCATCGTTGGTCTATCGAACATCCTTTTGGATATCTACAGCGAGGTCATACCGCTGGAGCCTGCCAACACCGACACCGTCTCCGCTCCGCTACAGTCATCGGCCTCTTCAATTCATACAAAGACGTCGACATCGAAGACACAATACCTAACCTCTCACATACCGTCGGTAGAGAACCAGCTCTCGTCACCCACACTCACCCGTCTCGCGGCCCGTGACCGCGCATTCGGGCTACTCTCCACACTTACCAAGCTTGGTGCTGGTTGGGACTACTCCGAAGCCTGGTATGCGATGGCGAGAGCCTACGAAGAGAGTGGGCAGATCGACAAGACGAAAGAGGTGCTCTGGTGGTGTGTAGAATTGGAAGATACGCATCCCGTGCGCAGCTGGAAGGTAGTCACCACGGGCGGGTTTGTACTATGATTGAGATTGCAATTATCGTACGTAGATTGGGCTGTTCGTATACCCACCCTAATTATGCAAGTTTGGATCTCTTTTAGAACCATCACTCCGAACATAATTCAGTCATCACAGTCCCTCAAACCAAATCCCCCACCCCCAACCCCCCATAATAAACAACCCCCCTCCCCCTCATCCCCGCACTCTTCACCCCCTTAAGCACACTCTTATGCACAACAACCTCCCTCATCACCCACCCCTCCGCGCCCCCAGCCCAACCCCTTAACACCTCGCCTTCCCCGTCCAAAAACCTCACTTTAACACTCAGACACACCGTCGTCGCGCGGCAGCACGTAAACGCCCAGCACGCATGATACACCATGCGTTGTATTAACCAAGACAGGTTTGTGTGACCAGGCCGCGTGCGAGCCAGATAAGGATGCGCAGGGAAGAATATCCGATACGCGATATTGCGGGGGAGGGATGTGGTCGCTGTGATGGGGCCGCCGGTGAAGGAGGTGGGTATGTCGATTAGGATGGTGAGAGGGGGGTAGGTGTGCAGGGTTGGTGGGGGGGTTGCGGTGGGGAGGTAGGACAGGATGCGGAGGATGAATGTTGTTACTGCTTCTAATACGCTGATATCTGGCGTCGAATTGAGAGTCCACATCCTGAGCCTCTTAGACAGCTGTTCGGACGTGATTCCGCCCTCTCGGTAACGCCGGATAGAACGGATCGTGAAGTCTCGTCTTCGCGGTTCTACGCGGTGGAACAGGAAGGTCCAGAATGTGGGTTGGAAACGGAAGGAGTCGTGGAGGTTTATTACGCCGAGGAGGTGGTCTGCCGAGATTATTATTGTTGGGGCTGTGGACTTGATGGTGGAGAGGTGGGGGGAGAGGACGTAGGATGCTTCCGTACGGATTTGGTGGTTCGTGGCGAGGAGGGAGATGCCTGGGATTGTTGTGGTTACTAGGGTGAGGTGGTGGGGGCCGGATTTGAGGGGAATGGTGTGGTGTTGGGTTTTGGGGACGAGGTGGGTGAATATCTTTTGTCGGAGTTCTTTGGGGAGGGAGAGGAGGGGGAAGGGCTTCGTAGGAACGGACGTGTATGGCGGTGCGGGTGTGGGTTTTCCTGGCGAGGGGAGCGAGGGAGGTGGTTCTGTTGGGCCCATGGTTGTGCCGGGATGAGCGGGCTGTAGGATTTGTTGGTTTGGTAGCTGATGTTGCCCAGGTGTGACTCTGTAGTCTGGTTTGAGGCGAGTGATTATCTGTCCTATTAGAAGAACGCGGAGTTTTGTGATGAGTGAGACAGTGAGATGAAACCATCTTTCACCAGTACAAGCGAGCAGAGGCATTTTCGTTCCACAGTGTTGGTTTCAGGGTCGAGAAGTGGATTCTGGTTACCCACGTGTGTTCCAAACTATAGCGTTGCTCTTTGAACGCGGAGTTACGTGACATGACTAGAATTTGTGTGTCGCTTACGTGCTTTCAAAACTGTACAAGTAGGTGCTAAGATATCGCATACTTCTACTTTGATGATATTTCTGTAGATGTGTGACCACATGTAGTGTGCTCAGGGTCTTTGTCGTGATCAGAACGTGGTGGTCAAAGTGAGGTAAATATGCACGGATGGTTTGTACATCGGTGCCACCTCGATGCTGCTGAAAGAAGTTGAAGTGCTGGTTGACAGGCAGCCTCTTTGGCTCGCTTGCCAAGGACACTCGGTCAAGCAGAGGTTGAGTGTCGTGCTGGACGATCGACACGTCTCCACGGCTGCCGCATGCATCCTCTGAAACCATAATTATCCATATGAAGATCGGAAGAGTGTCAATGTCGAATTGCGCAGTCGCATAGCTGGTGAAAGTGTAGGGGAGATTGCATGTGATAGTAAGGCACGCGCGACACAGACGATTCAACGCCACGACCTGACGTCATTGGTCGGAGCGAAGACACGAGCTACCTTGGACCCGAACCTTCGCGTCTTTCACCCCCGGCACCATTCATCTCCACACACTATGGCTCCTTCCTTGCTCATCGCTGAGTCTCAAATGAAGGCGAAGGCATTTCGCATTACAGCAGTAATGGCTTCGACACTGGCTCGCTCTATCCCGCGTTGATGGCGTCCCACTGCGGCTTCCACGACTATGAGGCGCGATGGCAGTGCTTGCTCATACTCCCCAGCTCTTGCCTACAGCGACGGCTGACATGGCAAGCATGAACGATGCAGAGGCTGTCGCAGAGAGCGTGGATGTCGTCTGCAGCCCGGACTTGTCTGTTGACGCATCGCGTCGAAACATCCCACCCATCCATCTCAACGCTGCCATCCACAACGCATCGGAATTGTTAGGAGAACATCAGCACGAACCATTATTCTCCCCGACATTGTTCATACTGCAACGCTCGACATGAAAGCCGCTTTGCTGCTCCGTGTGCTTTCGGCCACGTCGCTCTTCGTCAACGCGAACGCAAATTCGATCGATCACCAGCAGCGGGAAGATTCACTTGGTGATTTCATCAAAGCTCAGCAGCAAATTTCGCTACAAGGGATGCTGGACAATATCGTCGAAGCTCCCTACCCGGATTTACATGGCATGGTTGTTGCCAGTCGGTCAGATACAGATTGTATTTGCCTTGAACTCACAATGATCGACGGAAAGCTAACGACACAGACTGGTACACGTGGATCAGGACAGCTGCATTAACCTTCAAAGTTCTTGTCGAACGCCTAACACCGACCGATATCCTCTTTGTCCCGGATCAGATAACCGATTATGTGGAATCCCAAGGGGAATTGCAGTCGGGAGATCTCGGAGAGCCCAAGTTCTACGTCAACGGCACTGTCTTCAAAGGTGCCTGGAATCGTCCTCAGCAAGACGGCCCGGCGCTTCGTGCTACAGCTCTGAATATCTACGCTAAATACCTGCTTGCGTACTCAGAAGGGACTAAACTGGCTCGAGTCCTTCGGGCCGATGTTGACTTCGATGTCTGGCCGATCATCGCGAATGATCTCGACCACACTGTTCGGTACTGGAATCAAACAAGCTTTGATCTATGGGAAGAAACCAGTGGCTCATCGTTCTTCACTCTTTCAGTATCCCATCGCGCTTTGGTGGAGGGTATGGCACTCGCGAAGACATTGGGCCGACACTGTGACGGCTGCTATGCTGCCGCTTCACAGATGCTGTGTTTCATGGAAAGCTTCTGGGACGTCAATCACATACGCGCGAATCTCAATGCCCGAGACCAACGAAGCGGTATCGACGCAAGTTCTATTCTGTCCTCCATTCACACGTACGATCCATTGGCCGGATGCACAAACAGCACATTCCAGCCGTGCTCTTCTAGAGCTCTAGCCAACCATAAAACAGTGACCGACTCCTTCCGCCCTTTGTACGGCATCAATAGCGGCATTGCGCAAGGTCAAGGAGTTGCCATTGGAAGGTATGCAGAGGATATCAATCACGGCGGAAACCCGTGGTATGTGACCACACTTGCTGCTGCAGAGCAGCTCTATCTAGCGGGACTTCAGTGGCAGTACCAAAGCCGATTGACGATCGACGAAACCTCGCTGCCCTTCTTTCGCGACCTACTACCAGCAATATCTATCGGCACCTACAGCAGTCATTCCAATTCGGCCACTTTCCGATCAGTTTTATCCGCTGTACGAAAATACGCGGATAGTTACATGGCGTTAGTACAGAAGTACATGCCTGCGGATGGGGGGCTTCCAGAACAGTTTGATAAAAATAACGGCGTGGCTGTTTCTGCCTCGAACTTTACATGGTCACACGCTGCATTTTACACAGCCGCGAATCGACGCGTTGGTATTGAAGGCTCTAGCTGGGGTGAACCGATGAACAACGCTTTGAACTTATCGCAATGTTACTGTCACGCGCGTGTGACCTTCACAGTACGCTCTGACCCGCACAGAACCGTGTTTGTTGTTGGCGATGTCCCGGAGCTCGGCGATGGGAAGAATGAGCATGCCAGGGTTTTGAAACAAGACCTTCGTGGCTTTTTGAACTCAGGGTCCTACGGATACGCCAACTACTCTGCGCAGATCGAAGTACCCGCGTTGACAAGGATCAATTACCATTACTTTATGTTGGCCAAAGATCATCCCAAGGAAGAAGAAGAGTACCAGTATCGGCACATCGATACAGGCGAATGTGGAAGCAATGTTGACACAGTTCGCAATGTTTTCTTTCCCGACGGCTGATGAAGATGATCTACTCTGGCTTGGAACATGGCATCGCATCGTTGGGTTCATTTCGTTCTTCATTCCTACTTTGAGTCACTCCTAGTTGCTCAGCTTACAATACATGTCATTCTCATCAAGATGTTGGTCTAAAGTCCTGTTCATTCTTTTGTCCTTTCAAATCAGCGCGACTGAGCAACATGCCTCTCTACTGATACACGCACAGTCTCTGGTAAAGGTTCTGCGACACCCTACATCCTGGAACATTTATGCTACACCCTCAAGCTGATCGGTTATCATGGCGATACCAGAGCGCATGAGCGAGTCAGACTATCTTGTCTGCACCTTGTGTCAGTCTATTTCGCAAAGCTACTACGCGGAACAAACGTACCATGACCTGCTAAACGCAGTCTTGCGGAACCCAGGCCTCGATTCATTCTTCATACTCAAGACCCACGTGCTCAACAAGGTAACCAGATGGACCACGCGATGAAAACCACCGTCTCGAATTAGATGCAAACCCCGGAGGTACCAGACATACCCTGAATTGGACGTCGCAAGGCTGAGCCCGCCAAAGCTCTTTGGCGTCTTCCTCGAATCGAAGCAAAGAAGCAACGTCTTGTGTGCGCTGCAGCGACTGCAACGATGTTTTACACGCTGCATCAAGCGCAATGTCGATCGCCCTCGTACCAGGACGCATCTGCGACAAGCACCAACCAGCTTGACGCGCCCAGTCAGTTATGATGGAGCTATCAGGACCCAAAGCTAAACACTCTGGCCTTGCGGTGACGCAGGTAGATCCTGTCTTCCGCGCGTTTAGAAACCACGCCTGATATTCCAGAGCCGCCTGCAGTGGTCCACCTTTTTGCGCGATGGCTTCCAAGTCTCCACAGGGCACGATCATCTTAGGACTCAGTTGTGACATCTTGGAAGCTTCGCCAGCTACTCGGGTACTGTTGCGCTTCTCCGCCGTACGCGCAATGATTGGAGTAGCTTCTTCTCGGATGATTCTGGAGACAAGGCGTACGGTGGTGGGATACCAGATGCTAACGAGCTTGACTTTCGTATTCTTCATCCAAAGACGTTCACTCTCATTGTCCGTTTCGATGGTGATCTCGTTGTGCACTATGCATGTCGGTAACAACTCGTATACCATGAGTCGAATCTCAGCGGGTAGATCGAGGAAGCGGAAGTCCATGGGTGTGGGCGCTGAAGGATGGCTCATTTGGGTGTCGTGTTGGTAATTTGGGGATGAACTCGGTTTCAAGCAATTGAAAACTCTGACTAGCGTGAATTTTGCGACTGGATGAAAAATAGTGAAAGTGAAGACCCCGACCTGATCTATACTCTTCACTTTTGGCTTGTGTCTGTTGTCGATATATCGACGGCGGCCTGGAATGACTCGCCTGTAGAAGCCTCTGGTGCCACGAGCGAGTCAGTGGACCTTGAGCTCAACCCCGCGACTTCCATCCGTCGCACCCCAACACAGCACAACATCACCCTCAAGCATGAGCGGGCCAGACGCATATGAACAGCACCGACAGCATCGCACGTGATGACCGCGACCAAGCTTGCAATGAATGCCGCCGACGGAAAGCGCGATGTGACAAGACGCTCCCAGAATGCGGGCCCTGCAAGAGAAACAGGAGACACTGTCTCTACGAACGACACAGTAGGACCCCATTGACGCGCAAATATCTCACCCAAGTTGAAGAGCAACTTCGTCGATCACAAACTCAACTCGCCCGCGCAGAACAACGCGTCCAAGCAGCCGAAGCGCGTGTGCGACAGCTCGAGACCGCCCAGGGCGACGACGCGCCATCTCCCCACGAAGATGCTGCCAACACAAGAGGCGCAGCCGACGAACCGCCCATTGAAGTCTCGCTTGAAGGGCCGCCTTCTGGACCAGCCGACTTTAGTTGGGATGAACAATCCCAGGAAAGTGGTCCCGCCGAGACAGACGCCGCAAGCACACATACACATACTTCTCCCGGAGAAGACGAGCGCGTCGTCGATGGCATGGCTTCACTCACCGTGGATGAGAGCGAGGCGGGCTATCTAGGCGTTGCGTCAGGTGCTGCCATGTTGCGACTGCTCCTTCCCGACGCTCAGCAGTCTTCGCGGAAAGCGCCACCCACGTCCAGCTTCAGCACAACTACACCGGATAATGGGCACTGGCTGTACACAGATCTATGGGATAGCCTTGATCTAGGAGCCGTCGACCTCGATGCCGCTATCAACGGGTACTTCGGCCTCTACCACATCTCGTATCCTATCGTGGAGGAACACACCTTCCGTGCTCAATACGCCCAAGTCATTCCTCGCCCCAACGGCCGTAGCTGGCATGCGCTCGCCTTTATGATCGCTGCGATAGGTCATTTCACAACGGCTACAGGCCCGGCCGACACAGACAGGAGATTGTTCATGGCTGCCAAGTCCAACCTGTCGATCGAGAGCTTGGAAATTGGCAACATCACCCTTGTCCAAACACTCACGCTCATGTCCAACTATCTGCAGAAACGGAACAAGCCAAACAGTGGGTACAACTATCTTGGTCTTGCCCTTCATATGGCCATTGGTTTAGGACTACACAAGGAGTTCAATCATTGGGACATCACCCCACTCAACATGGAGATCCGCCGGCGCGTATGGTGGTCCATGTTTGTCTTCAACACTGGTGCAGCTGTCACATTTGGTCGCCCTCTCGCCTGGCCCAACAAGAACGTTGAAGTTCATTTGCCCTTGAACATTCCCGACAGGGCTTTGACTAATCTGTCACGCACTGCTCCAAGCGAGGCGGACCACGTCACAACGTTCAGTGCCGTCATCATGCAGTCCAAATTCCACATTCTAACGAATGTCATATACACCAAGGTCATATCGATGCCCTTTCCAGCCGCTACGGAGTTGATCCGTCTCGATGATGTCGTAATCGACAGATGGCAGTCATCAGTGCCCGATTGGTATCGCCGTGGAGCGTCCGTGCCCGCACAATTCGCGACTAGCCATGCTATCATGTGGTGGCGGCTGAGCAATTTCAGGATCATCATGTATCGACCGTATGTCATTCGCCGTGTTCTACAAGCCAGATCGCAAGACATGGACAATGCTGTGCCGGCATCAGTGCAGGAAGCGTATGCCAGATGTCATCGTGAAGCTGAGATGAGCATCGATGCCATCAGTACGTTTTGGGCTAGCTCTCCGCCCATGCGGATGACTGCATGGTACGCATTGTACTTCTTGTTCCAGGCTTCGCTCATACCCTGCGTGTGTTTGCGTAACGAACCTACTTCACCTTCCTCGGCAAGTTGGCGTGCGCAAATCAGGCGGACACTGCACACTATGCAGCTATTGTCATCAATCAATCCGAGTGCCCAGGATTGCCTGAATGTACTTCAACGTCTCTGTGGCCCGTTCCTACAATCTGAGATTCCTGGACAGAATGCACACGTGCTCGCGACTCCCGCTGGCGACCTATTGGAACATGCTACCGAGGAGTCCCCACAGACACAGATCAACAACGTCTACAGCATGATGTGGCCGAATGCCAATGATGCCGAGGCTGATGTACTGATGCAGGGGGGACTCTGGTCTGACTTCCTTCCGGACGTCGATGACTCAGGACAGCCACGACCTAGCGGACCCCATGTTTATTCCGATTCACAATTTGCATGGGGTTGAAGCACGGTTTTGTCTGTACCAAGACACCATGCCAAATCTATTGGTTGCAACAAACTACCAATCAACATACCCCGGCTACCTCGATATGCTGCTTGTCGAACTTTTCTTCCTTTTCCACAAGATCTGCATCAGGCGACGCTCCAGGGCCATCGAAGATCTCGGCAATCTCCTCCAAGCTCCGACCCTTCGTCTCTGGGAAGAAGAAGTACGTGACCCCGAGGAAGACCACCAGCAAACAGCAGAAGACTATATAGTACTTCCAGCCCAAATTCTCCATGCCGACAGGGTTGACGAACGCTTGGATGACCAAAGAAACATATATGGATAGCAGTTCGCAGCTGATACCCTTCGATCGGAGACTATAAGTGAAGATCTCAGTCGGATAGCTCATCAAGAGTGGCGTATACGCGATGTCGTAGTGGAAGTAGAAAACGAAAAGGCACACCACCACGACATATCCTGCCGCCTTGTTGTTATCCTCGTTGTTGACAGCCGAGCATGCTGTCCAAACAATGTACGAGATCAGCATGCCGATGCCACTCCAGAGGAAAAGCGTTCGCCGTCCCAGTCGGTCGACCAAGAGAGCCGCGCTTACAGCTGCGGCAAAGTTGAAGATTTGCAGCAGACCATTGATGAGCGTCTGCATGAAAGGATCCGTTATGCCAATCGAGTTCAATACTAGGGTGAGATAGTAGGAGACGACCCCTATGCCGTTCCACTGTGCAAATCCTCCGACGCACACGGCAAGGAAGAGCCGCTTCCGGTTGCCAGGGGTGGCAACAAGCGCACTCCATTGTACCGATTTGGCTGCACTCTCTTGTCGAATGGCGTAAACGATCTCGCTCATCTCTCGGTCAACTAGCGGGCTATGTTCGTCACCACCAGAATGGTATCGGGCAAGGATTTGTCGAGCTTCATCTTGCCGCTCTTTGGCGACGAGCCATCTGATTACCGTGTTAGTTCTTATGAAGATCTATACAGCGCTCGCGATTCATACCTGGGAGACTCAGGCAAGGTCCAGAAGAATGCAAGCTGCACTAGTGGATATCCAGCCTGCAAGATCGTCGGTATCCTCCAGCTCCAATTTCCCGAGTGGTTCTGAGTCCCAAACGTTGTCCACGCAGCCAAGATAGCACCGAGGTAGTACATAGTCCAGAAAGCACTTGTGTACTTGCCTCGATGCGTCGGGTAGGCCAGCTCGGCGATTAACATCGGGGAGGGTTGGACGACGAACATGCCCGCAGCGCCCACGACAGCTCGTGAGACAACGAATTGCGCCAACGTTGTTGCTGTTGCTTGTATGATAGTCGCAATAATCACACCGATAAGACCACTGAACAACACTATGCGCCGGCCGTAGCGATCAGAGAGCATCCCGACGAACGGCAGTACGACTACGGAGCCGGCAGACTGTGCCGCATTGACCAGACCAAGAAGCGCTCCGGTGGGGTGGCCAAAGTATTCTTGCCATTGGGGGAGCGACTGGAGACCATTCATCAACGAGCCTGTCCAGTGTCAGCGACGTTCATCTGTAGCCAACGCCGTGGCGAAGCTATACTCACCATCATATCCCGCCACAGCTGAGGACAGTAGAGGCACCAATAAGATCAGGTTCAAGCGTCGCAGGTGCGGGATCTGGAACCAGTACTTGTTGGTCTGAGGTAGCACCTCCGCTATGGCATGACCAACGATGTCGGCGTCTTTCATGGTTGCAATTGCGATGACAGTGGAAACAATAGTCGGGAGAAGCCTTTTGATCAATCAGCAAGGAAGCTTCAAATATCGGTCAACATCTCGGATATATATACGGTCTTGCATAACCCGGCTACGGGGTATGCCCACAGCCGGCACATGGCTTTGTTACCCCAGGTTCTGAGCGCCGGTTCATGCTAGTGGAATGCGGGTTGCAGCGACGATCGGGATGAAATGGGGTGATGCGCGAGTCATGCCGGGTGGACGGTCGACTGTCACCCCAACGCTAACTGCGTCATAGTAGCCGGGCCCGGGGAATCTCGTTACGGGGCACAGTCGACCATCGGGTGCCTGACAATCCAGACTCGTCCTTGCATCCTGCCGCGCCTGCATTTGCTTGATGGACGGCACTCTGTCCGCCTTTCGGCTTATGGCACTATTCCCGTATAGCCACGCAACATTCGATACCGAAGTGTTGCGCAACAATACTCCACGCACCTGAACCTGTTTTCGGCGCATGGTTTTGTGGCTGTATGACAGAGACAAGATTGCTATCCAATATTGGCACATCAGGTTTCCATCCTCGTCACGTGGGGAAATGGCATGCAACATCTCGATTCCATTCACGCCCATCTCTATTGCACACCCTCTATAATGACCTTGAAAACGCCCTCCTGCACAGCTTTCACTAGCTCGAAAGCTTTCTCAGCATCCTCGAACTTGAATCTGTTCGTGATGAGCTTCTTCACATCCACCTTGCCTGAAGCCACCAGGTCTATCGCATTGGGGTAACAGCCGACCGAGTAGCGGATAGAGCCCTTGATGGTCAAAGCACGGATACAAGCCGTTGTGATGGGAAAGACGACGTTCTAGCGTGCTCCGTCAGCAACTGCATCGCAAGACACGATTGGAATGCAGACTCACTTCTTTGCCCATACCCGCCTGGACGTAGGTGCCGCCCTTCTTCGCCACGTTGATGCCAGCCTGTATACACGGTTCAGCACCTGTGCATTCCAGGACGACGTCTGCACCCTCGCCCAGATTGAATTGCTCTTTGATGGCTGCAGCAATACTTTCCGAATGCGCGACTGGGTCAGCTCCTTCCTTTGCCCTTGGAGGCAAGAATACGCCATCTGCCGCATATGCTTTGGCAAAGTCCAGTCTTGCTTTGGAGATGTCGACTGCAATGACCTTCTTCGCGCCCGAAGCTTTTGCGACAGCCTGCGACAGTACTCCAATGGGCCCCGCGCCAAAGACGACCACCGTCTGGTTCGCGCGCAAATCCGCAACCTTACAGATCTGGACTGCGACTGAGACTGGTTCGACCATTGCAGCTTCTTCCATGTTCATTTGGTCGGGAATCTTGTAACAGTAATCACTCGCAACAGTGTAGTACTTTGCAAGTGTTCCATCCCAAGGTGGCGTGGCGGCAAAGATGGTATCGTTGCAAAGATTGTATGAGCCAGATCGGCAGTAGTCGCATCGTCTGCAAGGCACACCAGGTTCAATGGCAACGCGATCTCCAACTTGGAGGTTCTTGACGGCTGAGCCAACCTCTACGACTGTTCCGGAACTCTCATGCCCAAGGATGATTGGGCTGTTCAGGACAAAGTCGCCGATGCGGCCGCGTTGCCAGTAGTGCACATCGCTGCCACAGATTCCTGTTTGCGCAACATGTACGCGGACTTCATGGTCGTCGCGTAGCTTAGGCACTTCGCGGTCCTCGAATGCGACATCTTTGATGGCACGAAGGACGAAGGCTGGATTCTGGAGAATGGATCAGTTTCTGACTGGGAAAGCGCACTACAACGATCTCACCTTCTCAGTGGTGGTCACGGAAGACATGTTGTTTTCTAGATCGACTGCAGCGCCTCGTTGAGTTCGAGAGCTCCATCTTGTATGCCCGTGACCAGTATATCTGAACACAGGTCGGGTGTGACGAAGCGCAAGTGCGGGGATCGTGGGGTCAAGGGCAACCGTCAACCTGCGCGGGGTGTATCCCCAATGCGCTAAATGACAACACCCCTACCCGCATGATGTAGGTATGTTTGCCGAGCAGGTACACCCACTCCGATAGCCATCGTCCGATAAAATCGAAATCGTCATGGCGCGCCGATTCGGTTGCGAACCTTTTCTCCCATCGCATCCTTCATACTTTCCACCTTGATTACTATTGCCCACAATGCCTCTCGCGCAACCCTCCAACCCAGACGAACATGTCACGTCCCAATTCTCACTCAAAGGCAAAACCGCAGCCGTAACAGGCGGCGTCCGCGGAATCGGGCTAGCCGCCTCCAAAGCCCTCGCAGAAGCCGGCGCAAACGTCGCCATCCTGTACTCCAGCACCAAAGACGCCGATGCCATCGCCACATCCATCGCCTCCGCAACAGGCGTGCGAGTGCAAGCCTACAAAGCCTCCGTCGAGAACAAAGAAGAAATAACCCGTGTCATCAACACCATCGCAAAAGACTTCGGCGGCCTAGACATCGTCGTCGCAAACGCCGGCATCGCAACACACCACCCAGCCGAAGACTACACCGAAGACCAATGGCGCCGCATCATGGCCGTAAACCTCGACGGCGCATTCTACACAGCGCAAGCCGCAGGCGTAATCTTCAAGCAGCAAGGCCACGGCAACCTCATCTTCACCGCTAGCGTCTCCGCCATCCTCGTCAACGTCCCGCAGAAACAGGCGGCTTACAACGCGTCGAAAGCGGGTGTTGTGCAGCTAGCACGCTGTCTGAGTGTCGAGTGGGTGGACTTTGCGCGCGTTAATTGTGTTTCTCCGGGGTTTATTGCGACGGATATGCTGGATGTGCATCCGAAGGAGTGGAGGGAGAAGTGGATGGGTATGGTGCCTGCGGGGAGGTTGTGTGAGACGGGCGAGTTGAAGGGCGCGTATGTGTTTTTGGCGAGTGGGGCGAGTAGTTATATGAGTAAGTCTTCATCTCTCTTTGCTACGCGGACACCAGGTTGCTGACATGCTCGAATAGCTGGGGCTAATCTAGTAATTGATGGGGGGTATACGCTGCCGTAGCTTCATCGTGAAGGCGAGCATCAAGAGACGTTCAATCAAATTTCGAGTCTGTTATTACGACACGTTTCACCAAAGATAGCCTGATTATACATCATCGGCTTCATCCTCGTTATCACTCACCCATCCTTCCTTCCAAAGCTTATCGATATCCTCCCCATCAATAATCTTCCTCGTGTGAGCATCGACCCAAGACATACGCTCGTCAACCGGGAGCCTACGGTAAGCCGGCCAACTGATCTCTTCGCAAGCGGCGTAGATATAGATACCAATC